AACATGATCTCAGTGTCTCGATGGCAGCATCACTATTGTCCCCTTAAGCAAATGTTTTGTACAGGATTTTTGTTTTATTGGCAGATAGGATTACTCTATTAGTCTTTGAAGTGCTGAAATCAAATACCAGTTAATTTCTGCCTGACAGGGAAAGCAAAATATGATTTATTTGGTTGGATTTGCAAGAGCTTTATTACCTGTGCGTATAGGTCTAACACACTGTCTTGTCTGATTTGTCATGGGTATAGAACTGATATTGATCTTTTAAATGCAACTGCCAACTTGGCTTGTATTGAGAAAACTGTAGTGGAGTTACATTTAATATGTGCAGAAACAAATTTGGTGTGCTTTTCACCTGCCATACAACAAATATGAGTGGTTTTAGATTAGTGCGCACATGTTTATTTCAAGGTAAGAATCACTATGCAGCCTTGCTGAGCATATAGGCCTACCCCAAACCTTAGCTGAACATACTGTACTGTAAGCTTGTTTTAAAGGCCTCGCTCAGTGTTTAAAGCCTGCTGGAGCCCTTGAAACATGCTCAGAGTGCTTTTTAATGGGGAGTGAGCAGCACAGCTAACGAAGTCATGACTTTATGCATCAAGGTCGCCAGCTCACTGCCAACCAACAGACTTTGGCAGCATTTGAAACAGCATGTTATTGCATATAGTGAACTACTTTTGACCAGAGCCCTAGGGAATAGGGTGCCATTTCAGATGCTTCTATAGTCTGACCAGAGGGGGGAAGAGATCCAGCTTAACAAGACTGCTTCATCATTCCCCCATAGCCTGTATTGTTAACAGCAAGTGCCTGTAGTCATGGCAAAAGCAAAATATGTACATGTTAATGAAATTGGGTTCTCCAAAGGGTATTTTTATGTGATTTGGTTCTAGTACCGAGTCATGTACAATTTCAAAACCAGACGGCTATAAGGATATGTTTGGGTTGGGGACATATTGCAGTCCCAAAAGTTCACTTTTATTTTCTACAGTCAGTTTCAATGTCAGTGACTTCTCCCTCATACGTTGTCACACCGAGTTATATTCAGTAACCTCCAAATTGGTGCCATCATTTTTAAAACTGAGTACTGACCTCTTTTGGTACTACCTTAACTTTTTTTACGAGCTCAAATACAGTATGTTTTCTGTTAAAAGGTTTGCTTCCATTTGAGTGTAATAAACAAGACCATGCGAAGTGCATAAATGCTAATTATGTCTTTACTTCTCTCTTTCTCTCTCCCTCGCTCTTCCCTCTTTCCCTCTCAATGATGATCCACTGTCACCACGTCCTGTCTGCTGCTCCACGGCGACTGTCAGTCTGAATTATCTCCTAAAGCAGGAGAGGTTAATAAGAGGGAGTATAAATTGTTCTTTTCCATTTCAATGTGACACCAGGTATTATTAGCCCGGGTTACACATTGCTTTTATGGGGCATAACTCAGGGTAAATATGAAAATAGACGACACTTGCAATTAAAATGTATGATTTTCAGCTGCAGCGATAGCATGGCAGAGTATTAAGGTGGTAAATATTCCATGTCTGAGGTCAGTAGGGCTTGGAGAATGAATGTGTGCTCAGAGACCACTGCTAAGCATCTTTCTCCTCAGCTGTTATAATACCAGGATCTCCCAGACATAATGTGCGTCCCAAATGACACCCTATTCCCTATGTAGTGTACTACTTTTGACCAGGGCCCATAAGGATTTAGGTGCCATTTGGGACATATCAATAATGTTCCTCAGTAAAGGTTACCCTTATGGGATACATTTCCCCATAGTAATTTCCTACAAAAGTTGTCTGAATGGATGTGGATAAGAAGTTCTTTGATACACAATTATATAGAGGACATAAGGTCATAATCTGTCTGACAGTAATCGGTCAGTTTAAGTAAAGTTCTAAGAAACTGGTTCAAACATCACATCCTATCCACATCCATGACATTGGATAATGTTGTAGTAAGAGGGAGGGAAAACGGAAATTGGTTTCAGGGGCCATACCCACTTTGTTCTCTATGTCCTGTCTTGTGTCTCCATCTAGAGGATCACTTACTCCAACACTGTATACTGGAAGATGGAGTTGAATACATTTTTACTGATGACAAGTATTCGATTAGCCATGATGACATACAATATCATGCCAAGTTGAAGAATTTAAAGGAACTGTATTTAAGTATCATTACAACTTTCATCACTACATTGGAGACATTCTTCAATAGTAAACATTTGCAAGAAATCTAATAGCTCTCCTACACCTTTCAAGGAACATAATTCAGAATAAACATTCAATAATATATATTTCCTGTATCATTTAAAGCACCAGTTGACATGAAACACTCTTTTGAAATCATCATAATTACAAGTATAAAAACCATTCCAGCCTTTGGGCAATGACTCCATACCGTAAATCGCCATATGATATGAAATATTCAGACATAAATCGTCTTAAATATCAGAGCATACGTTAGAGCAAGAGTGGCCTGGGGTGAGTCATAGCAACGTGGGCACTGTCAGGAACAACCACCTCCATCCCTGGTGCCCACTTGCGCTGACGTAGGCTCTGACTCAGAGAGAGCCATTGGTTTGGACCTTGCAGAATATTACTAATGAGGGGAGAGGATAATAGGGTATTGATTATGCATCAGACAAGGAAGGCCACTATATGAGACAGCAGTGGCTCAATCATCTGTGGCAAACGTGAAAAGCTGTCTGTATTTGACAACACCAATGTCTCGCTTCCAGACAAGCTAAACACCTTCTTCGCCCGCTTTGAGGATAACACAGTGCCACCGACGAGGCCCACTACCAAGGACTGTGGCCTCTCCTTCTCAGTGGCCGACGTGAGTAAGACATTTAAGCATGTTAACCCCTGCAAGGCTGCCGGCCAAGACGGCATCCCTAGCCGTGTCCTCAGAGCATGCGCAGACCAGCTGGCTGGTGTGTTTACGGACATATTCAATCTCTTATTTTCCCAGTCTGCTGTTCCCACATGCTTCAAGATGGCCACCATTGTTCCTGTACCCAAGAAAGCAAAGGTAACTGAACTAAATGACTATCGCCCCGTAGCACTCACCTCTGTCATCATGAAGTGCTTTGAGAGACTAGTCAAGGATCATATCACCTCTACCTTACCTGTCACCCTAGACCCACTTCAATTTGCTTACCGCCCCAATAGATCCACAGACGATGCAATCGCCATCACACTGCACACTGCTCTATCCCATCTGGACAAGAGGAATACCTATGTAAGAATGCTGTTCATTGACTATAGCTCAGCATTCAACACCATAGTACCCTCCAAGCCCATCATTAAGCTCGAGGCCCTGGGTCTGAACCCCGCCCTGTGCAACTGGGTCCTGGACCTCCTGACGGGCCGCCCCCAGGTGGTGAAGGTAGGAAACAACATCTCCACTTCGCTGATCCTCACCACTGGGGCCCCACAAGGGTGCGTTCTCAGCCCTCTCCTGTACTCCCTGTTCACCCATGACTGCGTGGCCAAGCACGCCTCCAACTCAATCATCAAGTTTGCAGACGACACAACAGTAGTAGGCTTGATTACCAACAATGACGAGACCGCCTACAGGGAGGAGGTGAGGGCTCTGGGAGTGTGGTGCCAGGAAAATAACCTCTCACTCAACGTCAACAAAACAAAAGAGATGATTGTGGACTTCAGGAAACAGCACAGGGTGCACCCCCCTATCCACATCAACGGGACTGCAGTGGAGAAGGTGGAAAGCTTCAAGTTCCTTGGCGTACACTTCACCGACAAACTGAAATGGTCCACCCACGCAGACAGTGTGGTGAAGATGGCGCAACAGAGCCTCTTCAACCTCAGGAGGCTGAAGAAATTCGGCTTGGCACCTAAAACCCTCACAAACTTTTACAGATGCACAATTGAGAGCATCCTGTCGGGCTGTATCACCGCCTGGTACGGCAACTGCACCGCCCACAACCGCAGGGCTCTCCAGAGGGTGGTGCGGTCTGCTGAACGCATTACCGGGGGCAAACTACCCACCCTCCAAGACACCTACAGCACCCGATGTTACAGGAAGGCCAAAAAGATCATCAAGAACATCAACCAAACCACCCGAGCCACTGCCTGTTCACCCTGCTATCATCCAGAAGGCGAGGTCAGTAAAGGTGCATCAAAGCTGGGACCGAGAGAATGAAAAACAGCTTCTATCTCAAGGCCATCAGACTGTTAAATAGCAATCACTAGCACATTAGAGGCTGCTGCTGCCAATTGAAATCACTGGCCACTTTAAGAAACGGAACACTAGTCACTTTAATAATGTTTACATATCTTGCACTACTCATCTCATATGTATATACTGTATTCTATTCTATAATATTGTATCTTAGTCCATGCCGCTCTGTCATTGCTTGTCCATATATGTATATATTCTTAAATTCCATTCCTTACTAGATTTGTGTGTATTGGGTATATGTTGTGAAATTGTTAGATATTACTTGTTAGATATTACTGCACTGTCGGAGCTAGAAGCTCAAGCATTTCACTACACCCGCAATAACATCTGCTAAACACGTGTATGTGACAAATAAAATTTGATTTGATTTGATGACTAACAGTAACAAATATGACTGGGATGGACATGTTGACTAATTTGATTCATTAGTGTTATGGAACTGTGCTGATGCAGTCACAGACACATGAGATGAGAGGCAGAGTGAGTGGGACATTTGTAATATACAAATGGATAAAGATTTTTATTAGAATTGCACTGGACAACAGAACACAAGGTTCCGATAGGATACCCTGCTTATTGTATGTGGTGTAGTAAACATTGTTTAGTGCATTCATATAGTTATTTACTACATTTTATGTTAGTTTCACGAGTAGATATGGAAAAAGATCTCAACATTATAAAAATAAAACGGGATATACATGGGTAGAAACCGACATCAACATAACATCTCAATCCACAAAGCCAGTTCAAAAAGGCACCGATGGTCTGACAAAGAATAGTCAGAACGTTTGTATTTATTCAGCTCCACAGATCTCCCTCTTGAAAACGTCAAATTTAAATGTAACCCCATTCTCCTCTTGAATCTCATTTGGTACTCCAGGAAACCTAGTTTGAGGTTAAGGGAAACAAAGGGACAACTTAGACAGATTGATGATGACACAACAAGCTTTCTAACACTTGACCTGACATGTGTGGAGTGGACCTGGTAAATCAGAACAGAGAATATAGCTTATCAAAACAGTCCAAAGTGTAAGCAAACAGTGCTGCACTGCTTAGAGCCAGGAGAGCAGAGAATAAAATATGCTTCCTTATATCTCTTGTTTTCTAAAAATGCTTTGGTCAAACTGCGGGAAAAAGACATCACAGTGGAAGTCAGCCATGATGTCAGCGAGGTAGACAAGGTCACACCAGGGATGCATCAGGCCTCCTGATGACAAGGGAAAGGTAATGAGCTAATTTAGTGGATGGACTGTCCTAGTATAATGAACAACTTAATCAATTTTGATCCACTTAAAATTCCTAACCCACATATTGGATGTAAAGTCCTGGGCCCATTTTAATTAAGCATCTCAGAGTAGTGCTGATCTAAGATCAGGTTCCCCCCTATCCATGTAATGTTATTCATTATGGTCTAAAATGAAAAACTGATCCTAGATCAGGATTCTTACTCTGAGAGGTTTTATGAATAAGGTCCCAGATCATACTGTACCACAAACTTCGACCACCCATAATGAGACACAACAGTTACCTGATAGACCTGTGGGCCACCCACCACCCAAATGGTCTCCACCAGGTCACAGAGGGGTTGCATGGAGGCCGACACCACTGTCAAAATCCTGACAGAGGAAGTGGGCATGCTCCGGGACAGTGCTGGGAGGAGTGAGTGACACCCAAAATAACCAATCATTTCTAAATCTACATTGACTATCTTTGACTCTGTTGTCATTAGGCTAAATGATCTACTGAAGTGATTTACATGATGAACTTTGAATACCACTCATTGAAGTTTAAAAACATTGTGTTAGGTTGTGGACTGTGTGTGATTGGTAGTAGGCCTAGTGTGACTATCGGCTTACTTCAGAGTGGTACTCAGGACCACATGGAGGACATTGGGCAGCATTGAGTACAGACTGTCTGGGTTGGAGAACCAGCAGCCCCTGCCCCACACCATCATGTTCATCCTCACATGGCAAAGAGTAGCTAGATCATTTGGAACTAGTAACTATTTAGTTCCTAATAGTGGATATTGCTTTCAAACTATCAATGGCTGATTAACTCAAGTTATATTATCTACGCTTGTTACATAAAAAGTGCAAAGGTCAATTGCATTTCAACCCAGCTTCATTGTCTGCATTTTCCTGTGCTCTACTATTCCATTATACATGTAAGCTAAAAGCCTTGGACTCATATTGGAAATCAATCAAAATTACCTGGTTGGGAGACATTTGTGGTAGTGTCCAAAAATAATTTGAATTCTGTCCTGTGAAAGCAATATTTCATACATTGATTACCATTGGACCAATATCCTTTCCCAATGCTCCTATGTATGGACTTAAAGCAGTGAAACACAAACTTAAAATGTTTTATTCATATTGAAATACATGTGGGGTGAATTCAGAAAGAGTGGGACATCATATAAACCGGGACAGCTTAATCCTGACGCTTCATTTACCGGTCTGACAAGAGAAAATCGAAATTATTTTTACTAAACCCTTGCAGAGAAACCACATGATCAAAATCAGATCACTTCATTGGTGTGACATTATCGAGCGGGGCAGAGCAAGCTTCAAACAGGAAGCTCACCCCGTAAAGCACATCATAAAATCAGTGACATAGTTTTATAATTTAGCATAAAAAAAGCTGTCATAAATAATTCACAGTGCCAAATTGTGATGTAAATGTGCACAGGCCTACTATGTACTGGTGCATCAAAACACATACAAAAGTTGCCAATATTTTGTTTAAATGTTGTAATTCAGCCTTTTTTTTGTCCTGCTTTACCAACCATAGCTAGCTAAAGTAGGGCAGCATGGAGTAGCTAAAGTGGGACAGTCTTACAGTGAGGGAAAAAAGTATTTGATCCCCTGCTGATTTTGTACTTTTGCCCACTGACAAAGAAATGATCAGTCTATAATTTTAATGGTAGGTTTATTTTAACAGTGAGAGACAGAATAACAACAAAGAAATCCAGAAAAACGCATGTCAAAAATGTTATAAATTGATTTGCATTTTAATGAGGGAAATAAGTATTTGACCCCCTCTCAATCAGAAAGATTTCTGGCTCACAGGTGTCTTTTATACAGGTAACGAGCTGAGATTAGGAGCACACTCTTAAAGGGAGTGCTCCTAATCTCAGCTTGTTACCTGTATAAAAGACACCTGTCCAGAGAAGCAATCAATCAATCAGATTCCAAACTCTCCACCATGGCCAAGACCAAAGAGCTCTCCAAGGATGTCAGGGACAAGATTGTAGACCTACACAAGGCTGGAATGGGCTACAAGACCATCGCCAAGCAGCTTGGTGAGAAGGTGACAACAGTTGGTGCGATTATTTGCAAATGGAAGAAACACAAAAGACCTGTCAATCTCCCTCGGCCTGGGGCTCCATGCAAGATCTCACCTCGTGGAGTTGCAATGATCATAAGAACGGTGAGGAATCAGCCCAGAACTACACGGGAGGATCTTGTCAATGATCTCAAGGCAGCTGGGACCATAGTCACCAAGAAAACAATTGGTAACACACTACGCCGTGAAGGACTGAAATCCTGCAGCACCCGCAAGTCCCCCTGCTCAAGAAAGCACATATACAGGGCCATCTGAAGTTTGCCAATGAACATCTGAATGATTCAGAGGAGAACTGGGTGAAAGTGTTGTGGTCAGATGAGACCAAAATCGAGCTCTTTGGCATCAACTCAACTTGCCGTGTTTGGAGGAGGAGGAATGCTGCCTATGACCCCAAGAACACCATCCCCACCGTCAAACATGGAGGTGGAAACATTATGCTTTGGGGGTGTTTTTATGTTAAGGGGGCAGGACAACTTCACCGCATCAAAGGGACGATGGACGGGGCCATGTACTGTCAAATCTTGGGTGAGAACCTCCTTCCCTCAGCCAGGGCATTGAAAATGGGTCGTGGATGGGTATTCCAGCATGACAATGACCCAAAACACACGGCCAAGGCAACAAAGGAGTGGCTCAAGAAGAAGCACGTTAAAGTCCTGGAGTGGCCTAGCCAGTCTCCAGACCTTAATCCCATAGAAAATCTGTGGAGGGAGCTGAAGGTTTGAGTTGCCAAACATCAGCCTCGAAACCTTAATGACTTGGAGAAGATCTGCAAAGAGGAGTGGGACAGAATCCCTCCTGAGATGTGTGCAAACCTGGTGGCCAACTACAAGAAACATCTGACCTCTGTGATTGCCAACAAGGGTTTTGCCACCAAGTAAGTCATGTTTTGCAGAGGGGTCAAATACTTATTTCCCTCATTAAAATGGAAATCAATTTATAACATTTTTGACATAAGTTTTTCTGGATTTTTGTTGTTGTTATTCTGTCTCTCACTGTTCAAATAACCATTAAAATTATAGACTGATCATTTCTTTGTCAGTGGGCAAACCTACAAAATCAGCAAGGGATCAAATACTTTTTTCCCTCACTGTCTAGGCTTTTCCAATGGAGGAAAAATATCTAGTTTACATTAGGGACCCCCTGTACTTAGGTTAGGCAGGTATCTGGTTCTTGTAGTACTATATCCTGTAAATGTTCTTGTAGTACTGTTATTTGATTGAATTCAGAAAAAGGTCCGTTGTCAACAGGTGACATGTGATTGAAGTCGGATTCCATTACGCTTATTAAGATAGTGGACACTTAGTAACTTGATAACATTTAATAACAGTGTAGCAAAGGATCTTGTGTAAATTCAGAATTAGTGGGACACTTTTTGCATTTCCGTCGTCTGTCTGTAACCGCTTCAGACAGCTATCCAACATATTAGCCAAACACATGATACATTTCTGAAATCCTCAGATGTTTCCTAATTACACAACTGTAATTAAATTGTAATTGGGGTACAATTAGGACTATAATTACGGTGTCCCAATTTATCTAACCTCCTGTCCCAGTCTACCAAATGCGAACTGAAAATATGGTACACAAATGGCTGTGTCATGTCTCCTGTGAATATGATATCAACATTTGCTTATTTTGTGTGATTAGGAAACATCTTGAGGATTTCAGAAAATGTATCATGTGTTGGGCTAATATGTTGGATAGATGTCGAAAGAGGTGACAAAGATGACTGAAATGCAAAAAGTGTCCCACTAATTCTGAATTTACACAAGATCCTTTGCTACACTGTTATTAAATGTTATCAAGTTACTAAGTGTCCACTATCTTAATAAGCGTAATGGAATCCGACTTCAATCACATGTCACCTGTTGACAACTGGCCAACATTGAATGCATACATTGAATTCTAATTATTCTAAGTACATTGAATGCTAATTATGCATTTAGGACACAAATGTACAATGCGCATCAATTAATGATCCAAGTATACATGTTAATGGAGATCAAGTAGCCTAAATTCTATGAAAAAATAAATGTATCACATTGTTATCATTGAATAATTCTAACAATCATGCAATTATGTCATTTGTAATACTGGCTTTTAAATAGCCTAAATTTGAAACCGTTACATTACATAACATCGCCTTAAGGGAAAAGGGAATAATGCCATGGCAACTGTCAATTTGTTCCTATTCCAATGTTGCACGGTTTCCTCTGTACTTTGTCCGCACACATCTTCGATACAATACAAGGTAAAACATGATGAACTGTCTGGTTTACTTCGAGATGCAACGTGGTCTCAGAACATTTCGTATTATTCTGTAAATAAATCCGAGACACTCCATATAGTATGATATGTTACATTTCGTATGGTATACATTAATTTGTGGATGTCCATCAACCATTTCATATATGTCACGAATTACATGTTACGAATTGCAATAACTACAATAGGCTAGGGTTAGGGGAAGGGTTAAGGTTAAGGTTAGGGTTAGGGTTAGCTAACATGCTAAGTAGTAGCAAAGTTGCTAATTAGCTAAAATTGTCCATGATGAGATTCGAACACGCAACCTTTACTTAATTGGGTTGCTAGACGTTCGCGTTTTAAACCTACCCATCCACACTGACCAACCACCCTCCTTTAGTTTTTGCCTTAAGTAACCTGTGTTATGTAACCATACCAAATGTAACATATACTAATTTGAATGTTCTGGATTTAAGTTTACTGTGTTACGTGTGGTCTATGAGACCAGCCTGCGAGATTACAAGTGTTTATGTAACACACTCTGATATGCAGGCAAGCTTAACACATTGGATGAGGATATTTCATTGCATAATAACAACAATCACTGATTTGTTCTTCTGGGTATGACAAAGGCAACTGTGGACATCAATGAAGGCTGCTGAGGGTAGGACATATTATAATAATGGCTGGAATGGAGCTGAATGGAATGGATGAATTTGATAACGTTCCACTTATTCCGCTCTCTTCACGATTGCCTGATCCCTCCTGATGACCCAGTTGGACATGACTGGGTCACCAGGATGGATCAGCCAATGAAGTTGGAAGTCCCACCCAGTTGACTACATTACAATGGTGGAAGCCCTCAATGGTGCTGCCCATGCTAATACGGCCTTTTGGCCACACATCTGGAACCAGTTTCTCTGGATGCAACGTGACCAAAGGGGGTGTCCATGTTTACCACTGATTACGGCATAGATACATTGCAGCAATTGGAGGCTTAGTTTTGATTCATTTTATGTTGCATTCTTATTGCATTTACTTTGTATCATTTTTACTTTGCATTCCTCATTGAGCTTTACAACAGAGAATATTTGCATGCCCATGACAAACAAACCATTAGCCTGCAATAAATATTACTTTGAGTCGGTGTTACATTTGACACCTTTTATTACAGCACCATATAGAACAGTCAGTCTTTATACAAAAATAACAATTGGTTTACAACTTCACCAGAAAAAATAATAAAACAAAACATGCAATATCACATTTTTACTGTATACATTTTGAGTTGAATTACTCACACGCTTATACAGAAACGGTTATATAATTCCCTTAAAAAGGTTTTACAGAGGTTAATAACATGAAAAGTTTGTACAAAATGTATGATGCACTTCATGAGAGTGGTGCTTATGCTGCCTTATAAATACTCCTCGGAACCTGGTATTTCTGAACTTCTGACAGCATTGTACCCCGTATAATAAGTGTTTCCTGACCATTTGACCTGACGATTCCAGGTTGGGTCGTCAGTCGTATTATCAGCTTGAGGCTGATGCCATTCCCCATGGCTAGGACTGCACATAACATGCCCTCAGGCTCAAACAGCGATCAGTTCTCTGGGCATCATGTGATTTGATGTTCCCCATAGTTCAATGTGGGATGTTCACAGCCTCCTTTCCTCTCCTCTTGTCCATCTCTTCCTACTGCTGCTCACACCACTGAGGTAGATGTGCTCCTGTAGAGTTGAAGAGTCAGGGGAGGACGATGCAGTGTTTCAGGTGCCGGTGGAGCCTGCTGGAGATCGACAGGGTAGCTGGTACCCCCTCTCCTCTACCCCTCCACATCAGGGACTAGTTGCTGGTCTGCCTCCGGGCCTTGTTGCTACCCCCCGGTGTGAGGTCCTCGTTGGGACGCTTCACAGCAGCATGTCCTCTGCCTGAGTAAAAATATATATAAAAAAAAACACATTTTTCCCTTTGAAATTGGTTATGGTGTCTGCTTTGACTCTTGTAACTTCCACCCACGGCCCACATATCTGAGATGGATGAAGTCACAGTTCAGGCCCACATATCTGAGATGGATGAAGTCACAGTTCAAGCCCACATATCAACCTCGATGTAGATGAGATGGGTAGATAAGATGCAGGTTAAAGGACAAGTTCACTTTGGTTCAAAGAAAGTTAATTTGTCCTTTAACCCTACTCTTTGGAAAAAGGCAGGTTTTGCTGTGGTAAGGCCAGCCAAGGAACCAAGGAGGATGGAGAGGGTCTTTACCTGCTTGAGCGGCTGCCTCATGCTGGTTTTCTTCAGGGGAGGTCCCCACACAGTTTCCACCATTGTTAGGATTAGCAGGCACTGTTGCGAGCAGCCCTGTGAAGTGGGGACAAAAAGAAGAGTTGTACAGTCAGTCTACCACACCACACCCCCATAGAGAACAAATGATCATGATAATATAAAAGACAAAGTCACTGTATCCACAAAGAATCTCAGAATAAGAGTGCTGGTCTATGGTCAGGTCCGCCCTCCCTTGATTTAAAAGGCAAAACGGATCCTAGATCAGCAAGCCTACTCTGAGACGCTTTGAATAGCTTATCATTGAAATCGTTTGAGTAAGTACCAGAAAAGCGAATTTTCAGGCTATTAGCTGTAATTTCAGCAGGTCGTGCTCTGTGCTCACCCAAGCCGCGGTAGCAGGAGAGCTGCTGGTAGATCTGCGTCATCCTCTGGATGTTGAGGCGGCTGGCCTCGGCGTGGTGCACCATGGGCTTGGGGTAATGCACGCCGATCACGCACTTGGCCGTCTTCTGCACGCTTTCGGGCGCGTTCCAGGGGTCGTAGATGTACTTGGCCGGGAAGGCCTTCAGAATGGGCAGATAGCGCCTGGAAGAACCAAACAGAGAAATCAAATGTCACCTGTTGATGACACACTTATTTTGCAATGAACAATCGAGAAACAATTTCTAGTGGGTACAGCATGGAAATTTAACCAAGACTCTATGAAGTGTATGACGTGACATTGTGGTCTAGCAGGTCATGTACAGAATTGTTTGTCATGGTATACTGCATGTCCTACATGTCTTGTCACAAGCATGGTGAAATAAAACACTGAGGTCTATTACTTGGAGAGTACTTCAAGAGGAAAATAAATAGAGTGTACCACACTGTCTAAATATAGTGGAGGGGTGGACAACTGGGTGTAGGGAGTCTTCTCACCGTATGTAGTCTCCGTTGGGGTCCGTCCTCCTGCCAAAGCCCACGGGGCAGTAGCAGTGGAAAAACTGCTGGAAGAAGGAGCTGCAGGAGAGCCACATCCAGCTGCCTGCGTTCACACTCCAGTCTGCATCCAGGAGGAGCTCCTCAAATACCTGACAGGCAAATAAACACACACGGTCAGATATCACAGTCATACATTATCTACCTACTTCTCTCTTTGTCTCCCCTCTCCCGCTCCCCCTTCGTCTCCCTCTAACAGGTATCTACCTTCATGCCCTCCTCCCAGCTGATCCACAGGTCTCCTCTAGTGAGGAAGCAGGCCACAGCGTGTCTGGCCAGGTGGTGGATCCAGCCCTCCTGCCTTAGCTGGGTCATGATGGCGTCAATCCAGGGGAAGCCAGTCCTCCCCTCGGCCCACTTGGCCAGCGCTTCCGGGTTGCGGTCCCAGGGGATCTGCACACACACCGGGTTGCCCTCCATCTTGTCAAAGCGGGGGTTGTTGGTGGCCGTGGTGTAGAAGAACTCACGCCACAGCAGCTGGCCATAGAGCGAGAGGGGCGGCGAGCTGTTTTTCTTCACCTTCCTGTAGAGGTCAGTGAGTTTGAAGTAGAAGAGGCGACAGGAGAGGCAGCCGAAGCGGAGGTAGGAGCTAAGGCCTGTGGGGCTGGCTAGCAAGGAGTTGGCGTTCATCCGGGGACGCTCAAAGTTGGCCACCCATGCCTGGAACACAGAAGGTTAGTGGGGGTTGAATTTACTGAATTTAAAATGGAATTGACCCCCAACCTGGCACTGTATGTGTCCACCACACTGGTTCAGTAGTGGTGGGATAGAAAGGGACTACTCCCCACCTTTCTCTCCAGGTGCCTCTCCAGGCGAGTGAGGGCCTCAGTCTCTCCCCCGGGCCATACTGCTGTAGCCAAGCCTTCGGTCTCAAAGCCAAGCTCCTCCAGGGAGGGCACGCCAAACTTGTCGTCATGGTCATCACCGACGGGAGTGGCACACTTCCTCATGACCTCGGCAGTGATGGTCTCAGCGGGCGATTCTACGGCATCCATGTGACTGATGAGCGCCTGGAAACGCTTGTAGGTGAGAGGGGATTGGCCTCCGTTTAGCTCGATGATCCTACAGAGACACATGGACAGAGATAGAGGCATTTAGTGCATCACGTAACCCTAGCATGACGGCATTATTCATGAATATATTGCTAATACATCATGTTTGCATATTTGCACAACTTGATCACTTAAAATGGGTTGTATTCTCACAATATCTAATGTATGTCAGCTAGGAACTACAGTATCTAAATCTCCTTGACTGTGTGTGTGTGAGCCACTCACTTGTCCAGGTCGTAGAGCGTGTGGGAGACTTTGACAGTAACCTCCACCCCTGCCTCGCTGGCCAGCTTCTGGATGGCGGCGTCACGTTCCTTGCCGAAGGGCTCAGAGTCGTACTCATAAGACAGCCGGCTGGTCTGCCATTCCTGGGAAGCAGAGACATCGGAACAAGGTCAGTCATGCCACAGTCAGCCAACATGATAAATAGGGGACCTTTACCGTTGTAAATATAGAGATAGTGGATGTCACAGAAAGCGTTCCACAGGAATGCTGGCCCATGTTGACTCCAATGCTTCCCACAGTTGTGTCAAGTTGACTGGATGTCCTTTGGGTGGTGAACCATTCTTGATACACACGGGTAACTGTTGAGCGTGGAAAACCCAGCAGCGTTGCAGTTCTTGACACAAACCGGTGCGCCTGGCACCTACTACCATACCCCGTTCAAAGGCTCTTAAATCTGTTGTCATGCCCATTTACCCTCTGAATGGCACACATACACAATCCATGTCTCAATTGTCTCAAGGCTTAAAAAATACTTATCCTCCCCTTCATCTACACTGATTGAAGTGGATTTAACAAGTTACATCAATAAGGGATCATATCATTCACCTGGTCATGGAACGAGCAGGTGTTCTTAATGTTTTGTACACTCAGTGTATATATCACATTAAGACTACATACAGTATCCGTAGCACATACCTGAATAAGGATACTTTTTTTCAATTAGATACTCTTCATATATTTGAGCGTATCTGATACAGTGTATATACGGTACATTTACTGTGACAGGATTTATGGGACATACTGTATTTCTATGCAACAGAGCATACTGTATTTCTATGAGGTATAGGCTACATGTACAGTACTGTAAGTGTATGTACGGTTACAGTAGTGTAATTGTTTACTACGGTAAAGTAAGTGTGACTGTGTTGACTGTACCTTGAACAGTCTGGGGAAGACATCAGTAGGCTGGCCCCGGATGACAAACAGACGGGAGTTGAGCTTGCGGAGGCTGGCGTCTAGGTCCTCCAGACATTGTAGTAAGAACCTGGAATCAAACAGAGTTGATGATCAATCAAGTGATTGTATATCAGAGAGGAAATAGTTTTAAGCATTGATTTAGTTAAATACAGTAAATGAATGGGTACTGCAGTGCATTGGATACTTGTCTTCAGGGAAACAACAGGTCATGGTATTTAAGTTGAACACATTTTCCATATGATCCATCATGTGAGCCATGTTGTATCATATAGGTCTTCATGTCAAAAGCCTTGGCTCCTTCAAAGTGATTATAGCTTGAACCGGAAAGATCAGAGGGCTAGTGGAGAGGAAGTACAAACATGCGATGCTACTTCTCTCAGTTCGTAACATTATTCAGAACTACTTAGCATCTTAGCCTATTGAACAATGTCCTCCTGAACAACAAGTCAATCAGTTAGGCTAGAAGATGTTAGATGGATATTCCCTAAATCATTTTCCCTCATACACACAGGTGACAATATAAGCTAGGCTAAGGATGAAAGAAAACATCTCACCACCAAAATGATTCATGCCCTTACAGTTAACCTACATATATAGGCCTACTCCTCTGTCTGCTGGTATAAAACTGGCGTACCATTTAAAACACCAAGTGGAAACATCCAGTGGAAAATCTTGACTGAATGGAACTTATGTTCCATTACCTTAACAATAAGGTCACTAACATCCCTTGTAGTACACTTCAGCTCACAGCAAAGTAGTTCAACAAAATTACAGCTGCTTGCCTTCCTCAACAGGCAAACCACAGCTAGTGCAACAAGGCCTCATAAGAATGGGTGTACTTTAAACTGTAAAGCCTCACATTCCTGACTAAGCTAACACAAAGTCTGTATCAACATTTAAAGAACATCTCTGGCTAACAGTAGTTCTCTGCCGAGGTAAACTAGCATACTTTGTGATAAGCCTGGGCTCCTGGGGCAGGACTGCTGGACTGACACTCTACAAATAGGCCTCGGCTCGAACTTCCCCATTCTGCTGTGATATTGTCCTCAAACTACATAGGCAGTGTTGATAACAACACTGAGTGGTCCTCTGTAGCTCAGTTGGTAGAGCATGGCACTTGCAACGCAAAGATAATGGGTTCGATTCCCAGGACCACCCATTTGTAAAATGGATGCACACATGACTTAAGTTGCTTTGGATAAAAACATATGCTAAATGGCATTTATTAGTGTCGTCATTGTGTCACGCAACCAATAAATTAGCCTACCCTACTGTTTGTTATGACAACATGGATATCAATCAAGTTAAGAGAGGGCGACTGTCTGAACGTCCTGTTCTGTGTTAGGTGTCAGGTGACTTAACTGTCCCCTAGGGTGGCATCCCATCACCCTCCTCCTGTTGTCTTCCTCCATTCACAGTGAATGCTGTCTGGGGCTTGTCACCAGCTGTACTCTACTTGGAACTCTTATGAAACATGTAGAGTGATTAGCAGCAGCACTGCAGACAAGTTTTAAAATGTGATATATGAAAGGGTAGTGTAGCCTATTATGACTTTATGGGCGGCAGGTGGCTTAGTGGGTAAGAGCGTTGTGCCAGTAACCGAAAGGTCGCTGGTTCTAATCCCCGAGCCGACTAGGTGAAAAAATCTGTCGATGTGCCCTTAAGCAAGGCACTTAACCCTAATTGCTCATGTAAATCGCTCTGGATAAGAGCGTCTGCAAAATCACTAAAATGTATGATGACTAGTGGCCCTACAAGCAATGTCATCTTCATGCATACACTTGAACAGTGGGGTAATGCAAGGTGACCACAAAGTGAACATGGCACAATATTGAAAGGTTGCAAACTGAATTTGAATGGATGCAAGCCTCTTTGTATCCAATGGTGAGACATTACCAGACTACAACATAGATGCTATGGGGCTCAGGGACAGCGTTATGGGCGGCCCTTAGGGGGCCTGGCCTACCTCCTTGCCCGTCCAAATAAAATATTGTATTATTTATTTGCAGGGCCGGCGCCAGAACAAATCAGATGGACAGCCATTTGATTTCTATAGGCAGGCCCATTGTTTTCACGGGACCTCCTGTGTGCAATGGGTGTTATAATAAACGCCATAGGCTTGGGGAAGCTTACAAGTTATCCTAACAATCTACGTACCAGTTATGATAATTTTTTATATGCACATTTTCATGGTAAACAGTTTCATTTCAATAATAACGTTTTAGTTTCTCAAAATAATTGTCACATGGTTAATCATAAAAATGCTAGATCACCAGCCTTTGCCATATGGACACATTGGTACACCGTGATCCATGGGCGGCTAAAGAAATTAGCGCATGGAACTCAGAGATAGCCTATATGCCAATGCAGCAGCAGGCCTATAACTTCCATCGTCAACTAAATAAAATACATAGGCCTAAAGCTGACAAATAAAAACAGTAGAAAATATCCTGATGAAAATTCAGGTTCTTTCAATCGCTACTCTGCCTGTCTGCCTCCCTTTCTATCTAACTTGACTTGAGATATCACTAGTGAAGTGCAACATTGTATCAACTCAGCAGGTCGGCGTGCTCAGGCGCGCGAGCTCCCTCAACGTTATCAGGACAGAGAAACCACACAGCTGCTCATTGCTCACATGGAGCATTCCAAACAAAAGATGAAAAAATTGACAAAACTCCTAAATGATGGTTATGACATAAACCAAAACTTGTTTCTCACAAGTGTAGCAGGTTGTGAACTCTGCAAACAACGTTTCCACTCCAAGAATGAGAACGGTAAATGACTAATACATCAAATAACTGAAATGAATGTAACCAAATGACAGGGATTAATGGTACATGTACTGGGCCTAATGGGGAATTGATCAAAATAAACAATCAAAGGGCAAACAATTCACACAATGCATGTGCAAGAATTGGCGGGTGACAGCGGAGCACATTCTGGAGAGCTGAGTGCATGCATTCTGGAGAGAGACGCCCATATCTTCGCCACACACCCCTCCCCTTCTTCTTGTCTCAACATTTTAAATTATACTCAAGACACGTTTTCACACATTTGAGATGCTGTTCACTGACAGCCGCAACTGAATAATCAGCTAGGCCTATTGCCAGGCGCGCTGCCCAAATTGCTGGCTTCCCAAATAGGCATAGGCCTAAGCACTTGTGATTTGAAACAATCCACAGCAACAACACAAATTAAGAAGCTAATGATCCTCTGTGGCTCAGTCAAGCTGTCTGGTAAAGTATTTTGAATTATTTTACTTAGACAGGAGTAATGATAGAACTTTGGCAAAACATCAAATTTACTTTAGGGGAAGCCAGCATCCGAACAGTGCACCTGCCAACTTTCCTTTCTAATTCACAAGAGGCTGAAACCAGAGATCTGTATACAATGACGAGATGCTCATGTCTCTGTTTAACAATGTGAGTCGTTGTCCCAAAGGCGGGAATACAGGTGACAAGCTTAGGTCTGCATATTATGACCATAGGAACGCATTGGGCTTATTCAGGATAGATTTTGGCGAGAAAGAGCCCTATCACATTGCCTCTTCCTATCTGCTGAAACTAGTGAGCGAAACAGCGTCGCTACACCCTGTTAGATTAATTTGGATTTTAAGAATAATGACTAAAGAATTTCACCACAAACACAGTATAAATGTTAGAATTATCATGTAGTGTCAACCCACTAACAGAGGGGGCGGTACTAACCATTCAAGGGGGAAGGCGGGAACTGTTTAAGAAAGCCACCTAAAGGTGGGAGGAGCATAGTGCCTTTGTTTGTCAAGGGGTATAAAAACAGTATGTTTGTGTTTTTGGTCAGAGCTCTCCATGAATAAATATACCGATAATTACTTGTGGATTGTGGACCTTGAATCATTGATGATTAAAACCAGAGCTTTACAACCTCTGGTAATGCTTCAAGCTTAGGGTGAATTAGAGATAGAAATTCACATGACACACCCGCAATAACATCTGCTAAATATGTGTATGCGACCAATAAAACGTGATTTTACTATATGTAGCCATGCATCTGATGCTGTCTGGACAGAAAAAGTATGACATGCCATACTCTTTTTGTCCAGACAGCATCAGATACATGGTCCACACATACGGAGGCAGAGGGGCGCTGTTTCGTTCGCTCTGATGATTTATCTGAGATTGATGGGTCTCTTTCTGTTGGCGCACGTCTAGGTCAAATAATGAATTATCAATATTTCAATATTTTATTTGACGGGCAAGGAGTATAGTAGAGTGGGTTACTCTGGCCTACTTGAGTACACAGTGAGAGCGTGCGTAATTTACAATGGCAAGAAGACCAAGACGAATGGATGCACGTTGTGTTAGCGTTCCTACAAAATCTGAATGAAAATGACTCAGATGGGAAGAATCGATCATGGCATCTCCAATTATTATTATTCTGATTCTGAGCCTTAAGCCAGATGTACACTGCAAGATTTTGGCAGAGATTTAGCTTTCACCGACAAGTTTTTGAGATCGAAGACATAATCCCCACGTCGTTGCCTACTCGGGGCGCGCTGCCGTCACTGACGCTCGTTTAATGTGAGCGGGTCAGAGACGCAATCTGAGGGCTACGGATCTCGTCTTCGAGCATTCCCTGAAGTCCTGATATTTTCAAACATGTTTGATTTTATCGGCACAAAATCTGCAATGCTCTTGTAGTGTGAGATGTGCAATGACAAGTTTTGAGAACGGTGATCAGCAATAGCCAATGAGAGCTCGTCAGAGAAGAAACCAGTGAGATGATTACATTGTTTCGCTTCACCCAGAATGAGTAGACTCTCAAGCAGTAGCGATGACTACTACTAATATGCGTTTGTCCTTGCCTTTAACCAAAGAGTCAAATATTTACAGCTCTGAAGTTCACAAGCAATGTTATTCAATTTAAAATGTTGGCTGAAAACGTTTATGATGCTGCTTTGAGCCACAGCTCGTTGTATCTACATTAAATGTAATCAAATCATCACATAATTGTTTTAGCGAGACAGTGTGGTATGGAGAATCCTCACGACCAACTGAATAATCTTGTAGTGTGTGACCCCAGTCTAT